AAACTAATGGAAACAAAGGATCAAAACAAACAACGACAAAGGCGAGCAAAATGGATAAGGAAACGGTGGGAAGAAAGGAGGAGAAGAAGAAGAGTGGTGAAGTGGATTTGGCGTCCACTGAAGGCGAGGTGGTGTCGAGAACACCTATCTCATTGGGGCTCCCAGTAGTAGTCTGTAGTAGACTGACTGCTGGGAGCCTAAGAACATCGGAGCGTCTTCGTTCCCGGTCCGCTGCTTCATCAGACGGTGGCTTCAGTGTGTCGATTGACGCACTGGACGCTATGGATGTTGAGTTCCGCGACACTGGGAGTCGCAAGCGTGGACGCTCCGGAGAGGAGGGTGCTGACCCTTCGCAGGACATGCTGCCACCTAAGGTGGCCGGCAGCCAGCGAGGACCTGTCCCCGTCCCGTCGGGCTCCGCCTTCTCTGGGGCGGAGTCTTACAGGCGTGTCCGAGCGGACGGCGAAGCCGTAGCGAAGGAGGAGATCGCGGATCTCCTGCTCAAGATTCGGGAGCCGGTGGAGGGAGATGCCCCCCGGGCTCCCGTGTCTGTGCAGGAGAGGGCGAGAGCGGCGGTGGCTATCATCCAGAAGGTAGCCACCAAGTCGGTTAATCTTAAGGGCTCTTTTGTGAGGGCCCTTAAGAACTCCTCCTCCGCTATGTCGGAGGTCGTGGAGGGCCTAGTAGGCGATGTTTCTCGCCTACAGATGGCCAATGACAGGCTGACGGAGCAGGTGAATGAGCTGAGCGCTCAGTTCGCCCGCTTCCGGGCGAACCTCCCCGAGCGGGAGGCCCCGTCCACGCCCCAGCCTGTCCCTACCGCGACCTCAGGGGTACCTGACGCCCAACTGCGGGGAATTCTCGACGCAGTTGGGCGTATGCTGGACGGCCGTCTGGCCGGTCTGGAGGCGAGACTGCCCCCTGCGCCCGATGTGCGCCCCCCGCTCGCGTCGTCGCAGCGGCTTAAGGCCGCTGCTCCGACTGCGCTCCCCGTTGCGGGAGGCCGCGTCTCCTACGCGGCGGCGGCGTCGGCCCCGACTCCACCGGCTCCCCAGGGGCCAAGGCACCGGCCCAGGCGCCAGTCAAGGCGCCGGCCAAGGCGCCAGCCCAGAAGCCGGCCCAGAAGCCGGCCAAGACGGGGCCCAAAACGGCGCCGAGGAGTGGAGTGGAGTTCCCTCCGCTCCCCACTCCGACACCCCTGCCGGGCCAATCCGCACCTGCCCCCTCCAACGAGGGTTGGCAGGAGGTGAGGGGCTCAAAGAAGTCCCGAAGGCGGGCTAGAAGGGCTGCTCAGAAAGCAGCCCAAGCCCAGCCTTCGCCACCGGTGGCAACGGCCTCTAAAAAGAGGACGCGGAAGCTGCAGCCGCCCAAAACCGCGGCTGTAGTTTTTTTTTATTTTTATTTTTTATTTATTTATTTACACCACACTATACATTATTATTTCAGCTAGACCAATACAATAATGCAAGACTTACAAAAAAAAAAACAAACAAATCTATGAAAAAATACGCAAAAAAATAATAATAATTAAGAACTAGAACTACTCAGTACGCAATATATGGCCTTTGTGAACTCATTGAGCGAACACGAAAAAACGTCAAAATGATCCGACAGTTCCGACACCGCATTTAGCGCACGCAGCGCGCGCGTAAACGGCGCCCAATGCAGCAGATTGGTGCGCGCGGGCGGCACCGCAAGCAAGCGCGGGCACCTCCGCCGTGTCACGTAATCGTTAGGCACACAAAGTGAGATCTCCTGTAGGATAGCTGGGTTGTGTATCAATCCACGTAACACTTTAAATACGTACGTGGCTAAAGCTACTTCTCTCCTCACTTCCAGCCTGTAATATCCCACCATGCCCAAAACAAATAGTGTGGGATACAACAATGGATACCCTGGGTACACACCGAATACCTTCAAATATAAAAACCTAATAAATTTATTTTGTATGCGTGCCAACATTACTTTATATTTCATTTGATGGGGAGACCAGATAGAAGAATTACATTCCAGATGACTTTTAACTAATGCCTCGTACAAGGCTCTCAGTGCTGCGATGTTCGTAAATTCATTTGCGTTACTTAGAAGAAACCCGAAATTACGATAAGCTTTTTTACAAACATCCTGAATGTGCTTACCAAAATTTAAATCTGGGCTGAAACGAACGCCCAAATCCCTGACCTCGTTAATCCGCTGGAGAGGCGATCCCTGCATGTGGTACTGGTAGTGTCCAGGGTTATGCGCTCGGCTGAACGACAACACGGAACACTTAGATACATTAAAATATAGTTTATTTTCTAAGCTCCACGCTACCACCCTATCTATATCTTGTTGCAGCAAGTCGTGATCCGCACTGTGACTAATCACTCGAACCAACTTCAGGTCGTCCGCAAATAGCAATGGTATCGAGTTACCAACCACTTCCGGCAGGCTGTTAATCATTAAAATGAAGAGAAACGGACCCAGGGTACTGCCCTGACTTACACCAGATCTCGTAAAGTACGGTTCAGAAAAACACCCCCCACAGTCAACATACTGACGTCTATCCCGTAGGTAGCTTGAGAAGAACGCTAGCACATGTGGTGTAAAACCTACGGCTGCCATTTGGGTCAAAAGAATGTCATTATCAACCATATCAAACGCCTTCCTGAAGTCGAAGTAGGCGACATCCACCTGCTGGCCAGCGTCCACTGCAGGCACCAAACACGACATCAAGTGAAGCAAATTTCCTGCTGTCCCACGCCCAGCACGAAAGCCGTGCTGCGCGTCAGACAACTGGGAACCTACCTGTCTATAGAGACCTTCGTGAATGATGGATTCCAACACTTTAGCTGGAGTACTAAGAACAGCAACAGGTCTGTAATTACTGGGATCCGGGCCTCCACTGCCTTTCTGAACAGGCACGACTCGTGTAAGTTTCCAGCGCGCCGGAAATGTTGCGGTATCAATACATGCATTAAATAAAAACAATAACGGTGCAGCTAATACCATGCGACAGTCCCTAAAAACGAAAGCTGGTATACCGTCAGGTCCCATGGAGCGCTTAGGCGGCAGACGGGCCTGCGCGGCCAGGACATCCCGCTCGCGTATGCGAGTAAGGGAAATACGCGCACCTGGAAGATAGGCCCCCGCCACGTTCGCCGTCGCCGCGTTCAGCTTGGGAGGCTCATGTTTGTATACGGAATGGAAAAATCGTGCAAATTCATTTGCGCATTGGTCATCAGATAACGTGCAACCACCCTTCATTAATCGGTGTTTACCAGCGTTGCTCCTTTTAGACCCCATGTAGTCCCAAAACGCTCGCGGATCGGTAGCTAAATGACTTTGTACACGTTCACAATATCGATCATGCACTCGTACAATATCCGCCTTTACTTTTGCCCTAGACCTACTGAAAACGTCATAGTCACTACGCAATTTACTCGCTTTGTATTTTTTATGTAATTTGTGTTTACATTTTATTTCCCTAATCAGGTCCGGCGTATACCATACCGGATATGTATACCTACTCCCAACTGCACTGATTTGTTTACGAGGAATACAAATATCAAATGCATCGTATATATTATGATAGAATATATCTAAAATCATTTCGGGATCACTCAACTTATACATTTCACTGCAATCCATAGTCGCTAACAAATAGTATAAACAACTGAAGTCAGCCTTATTAAAATTCCATTGTTTACTTGCCGCTGAGTCAGATTGTGGTTGGGGAGCGGCGGGTGAAGTGGGGGGCGGCGCCCACGCTAGCTCGAGGCTGACTGCTAGCGGTGGGTGATGGAGGTCTACGGGCTGTAGGCCCTCGTCCGCCTCGGACACTCAACACGAGATCTAGCTGCCTACTGTTACAATTGGGTACCGTGTTGTACTGAATAAATTCACAGAAGGCCACAAAATATTCAAAATAATTGCAAACGTGTTTACTACATGAATATAAATTAAAATCACCTAATATAACAAAGTTGTTTTTAAATTTTAGACACATTTTTTCTAGTATGGTAAACATAACCATATATTCATCATCAGCTGTACTTGGTGGAATGTAAACAACACAGCATGTGAATAAAAAGCGTCCACGTATATAAACTGCGGCACAGATTAACTCAAACCTGCGATTGTCAATGTCCGTACTGTCTGGGATCGCCACTCGACGCAACTCATATCGCGGAGAAGCCATTAAAAGCACACCACCCTGCTTTCGGCCGTCTGCTCGGTCACATCTCAGTATTTGGTAGCCGGGAAGCCCGAATTCCGCGTCCTGTATAGATTCGCTTAACCCGGTCTCCGTGATAGCGAATATATCGGCCTTGGATGATTGAACCAGCGATAGGAATCGCGTAGTTTTTGTTCTTAGTCCCCTCACATTCTGGTATAGTATTTCAGATTTCCTACTAAGTTTGCTGTTGGATTGGTATTGTTGCTCGGCGAAAAAAAATCCATTCACTAAATTCGACATTTACAGGCCATACCTCCGGATCGCATAGCTTCTTGTAGTTACCTTCTGTAACCCCAATCTTAAACGAGGCATAGTCTCGCTCAGTTCTAGGTTTTAATTTTTCAATAATTATTTCTGACTCACTTTGCAGAACATTTTGTATGTACTTCTTTAAAGTATCTTCCGATGTGGTTTTCTCAAGTCTCCAAACATGTAAAAACTTTTTGCGTTCAACTGCTTTTAGTAGAACAGATGCCGCATTACCCCCTCTTCTCACAGGGTTATTCCTCTTGTTCTTTCTTACTTTTACCCAAGTATTCACGTCACGTATGGTGTCCGTTGGTTTTCTGGCCACAGTCGCATAGCTGGGTATGGGTATAGATTGCTGTAACTCTATTTTCGGAGTCTCGTGATGTTGATCGACCTTATCACGGCCCGAAGGTGGGGTCTGGACAGCCTTGGACCTTGGCTCACTTACAACTGGACGGAAGACCAGAGGGGTTTTCATGCTGCTTATATTACTTTCTTTGTTTGACTGCATCTCAGATTTTAGAGTTTTAATTTATTGTTCATAAGATACACACTTTTTATTGGCTTCTTGCAGCTTCTGTGTCAATTTGCTATTTTCTAGAGCTAAAACCCTTATTGTATCCTTAATTTCTCCCAATATTTTTGACTCAAGAGCACTCAATTTTTCTAGTATCATGGTATTAACTTTCTCCATTACATCAACCAAGTTGGATGTGTCGGTGGCTCTTAGTACCTCACTTTCTCTCGACCCATTATCATCAAAAGATGGAGTACATTGCTTATCTCTTTGGGAATCCATTATACCCACGCGAAGACTCCGTACCGGAGTATCATCTGTTACCCGTATCCGCTGGGTTACATTGGCACACGAATCGCATTTAAAATTGCGCTTGGTCTGTGTTTGCCCATCATTAAAAGTGGCCGGGGTAATATTCACACAACTATATTGATATCCCACCTTACAACCATTGCATTTAAGCAAGTGCACTAAATCAATTTTCTTGCAGCAAATACCACAAATCATGATTCAGTTCTTTTTAAAAACACAAATTTAAAAAAAGAAAAACAGAGAGAAAGCATAGACAAATCCCGCGAGTGCGAAAGAGCGCAATGCACGGCGCGGCACTTCAGACCACCCACAAACTGTTAATTGTCACTGATTGTTCACAATTATAAAATTACTTAAAACACTGCAAAATCCAAATAATTAGAAGTATTCTCAACTTTCTAGTCATACCTTAATACTTATAGTCCACTTTAAAAGCATTATCACAACTATACAGTTCGTTTCAATCAATTTACGAATTAAATCAGCGGGAGCGATACGCACTTCACCGCAATCACAGTTACGTACCCTTACCTGTAGTGGTTACCTTGTCGCCGTAGCTCGAGTATTCGAGTTCCCTGATGCTGAAGGCGCGGCGACGGCCGACAAATTCGCCGAGAAGCTGCGGGGAATTTTTGCCACCACGGACGGTGTGAAGATCGCCAGGCCCACCAAATGCGCAGAACTGCGCATCTCGGGCCTGGACGACTCCATCACGTCGGAGGATGTCCGCGACGCAGTCATGGAGAAGACTGGGTGCACCGCGGATACCATCAGAGTCAGGCAGGGCCATGTCGTGCGGTGTTCCTAGGTGTGCGGTGGAGGTCCTAGGACCTCTCCTGCGGAACATCGGGTACGACTGGGCCCTACGAGGGCGTCTCCCCCCCGGGCTGGGTGTAATCTGCTATGCGGATGACACCTTACTCACAGCCCGGGGGGCTAACTTCCAGGAGGCGGCGCGCCTGGCCGCCACGGGAGTTTCCCAGGTGGTCGGGCGCATTGAGGCGTTGGAATTACGGGTGGCCCTGGATAAGACGGAGGCCCTATTATTCCATGGGCCCCGTCGTGGTCCACCCACCGGCGCCTCAATCAAGGTCGGCTCGGTCCTCGTACCGGTCCGGGCCCAGATGAGGTACCTGGGTCTGGTCCTAGACGGTAGGTGGCTCTTCGACGAGTACTTCCGACAGCTGGGTCCGAAGCTGGTGGACACTGCCTCCGCCCTAGGGCGACTTTTGCCCAATTTGGGCGGGGCCAGTGTTCCCACGAGGCGGTTGTCCCCGAGGATATTGGCGGTCAGAGCCATACGCGGATACCGCACGGTGTCCACCGAGGCGGCTTGCGCCTTGGCCGGAACACCCCCGTGGAATTTGGATTCGGAAGTGCTCGCCGATGTTTATCGGCGAGTGGCTGACTTCCGAAGACCGAAGACGTTCGCGAGTGGTGCGAAGCCGCTCGCCGAGCCACCATGGTGAGATGGTCGTTCCGGCATGAGACTCCACGCGCTGGCTTCGCCGCCGTGGAGGCTCTCCAGCCGGTCATCCCCGACGGACCCTTACCTTCCGGCTGACGCAGGTGCTTTCCGGGCACGGTTCCTTCGGAAAGTACCTGCACTCGGTCGCCAGTAGGGAATTGAGTCCCGCCTGCCACCACTGCGACTGCAGTGAGGACTCGGCCCAGCACACGCTGGCGGTCTGCCCAGCATGGGCGACGCAGCGCCGGGCCCTCACTGCAGTCATCGGAGTGGATCTCTCGCTACCGGCCGTAGTACACTCCATGGCCGGTAGCGACAGTTGTTTTACCGCGGTCGCAACCTTCTGCGAGGAGGTAATCTCGCAGAAGGAGGCGGCGGAGAAGGCCCGGGAGGACGACCTCCACTCGGACCCGATCCGCCGCCGGCGGCGGAGGCGCGCTCACCTGCGCCTCATGCCGCCCTGAGTGTGGCCGCGGGTGAACGGGATGGGTTCTCCTCTCCACTCGCATTACTTTGGCCAGCCGCGAGGGGGCGTCATCCGCGTGTGCCCGACGTCGCCTAAAAAGAGAGGTCCCGGAGACGAAGCCCGCACCAGGAGCGGGCCGGCGCTGGGAGGGGTCCAGAAGGCGATAACTACCTGGACCCCTCCTAAACTGGAAGCGCAAAGAGGGCACACCGTGTGGTTTTATTCGGTTCGAGTCCGACACACCGCCCCGCCGAATGAGAACCCCGGCAGGGTGACGGTCCGAGGGGATTTCCACACGTAAAAAAAAATTCAGCAAAATGGTGCCGAGCCCAGCAGCGCCGACGCGAATCTCGCCAGCCCGCACATCACCCGGCGGACAGCCACTGCTTCGACCAACGGCCGCCACGACCTCCTCTGAGGTCGTCGAGTCGTCCAGGCCATCGACGCGCAGTTCTGCGGTCTTGACGGGCCTGGACACCCGAACGTCTTAATCTTTGAGGACCTCCCTCAACTTGGCAGCCAGGATGTCCGCCTTCTCCTTGCCGTCCGGACCCGCCACCTCGAACAGCCGCGCCCCCGTAACCGCCGACTTCATCCTGAAGCCAGTCGGTGTGCCAAGGTCGGGGAACGCGACTTTGGCCTTCGCCTCCGAGAGGACCTCCTTATAGGTGAAGCCCCTCTCGATAGCTCCGGGCTGCAGTGTGATCACCACAGCCGCAGAGCGTGGGGCCCTACTCTTCCGAGTCCTTCGCTTTTTCTTCTTAGCAGGCGCGGGTGCGGGTGCCGGCAGCGCCGCCTTCTTCTTACGGAGCCGGGCGCGGTCGCCGGGGCCGCAGATGAGTCGGCAGGTGGGGCCGACAAATCCTTAACGGGCTTCTCGGCCCTCTCTACGGCCTTGGCCGCCACGGCCTTCCTCCTTCTGTCCGCCGCTAGCGGAGGCCGGAGGTTCTGGGCCGGAAGGAGCCTCGACTCGACTCGGCATTCATCATGCCCCCACACTGCTGCATGCAGATGCGGATGATTTTTTCCATCTCCGCATCCTGCGCAGGTGCAGGGGCAGGGGTCGACGGTGGGGCCGCAACCGCTGGGGAGCCGGCAACTGCGGTTGCCGCACAAAAGCTTGCGAAGCTTTTGTGCGGCAACCTCTCTCTTGAGCTCCTCCAGCTCAGCTCGGAGACGGCCGTTCTCCTCCCACAGCTTTGCCGTCTCCTCAGAGCTTGTTCTGGCAAGGAGGACTTCAACCGCCTCCTTTATGCCATCAGCCGCCTCCTTCAGGGCGCGCGTGAACGTGCCCTTCCAGCTGCCCGACTTAGTGGCAACTTTCAGGACAACGTCAACGCCGTCCAGGACCTGGCGACTGAGTGCCACCGCCGTTGGTGCTTCCCCGGAAGCCGATTGAGCAGCCCGCCGCTCTCGGGCTTAACGAGCCATCTCGCCCACCTCGTCGGACGCGACCGCCCTCCGCTGCGCCCGCCTTGCAGCATTATCCTCCGCTTTGTTGCTGTCCAGCACAAGCGGGGAATCGGGGGCAGCGGAATCTGTGCTCACATCAGCGATGGAAAGCTCGTCGCTTTCCACCTCGAGCTGATCCAGGCGGACCACCGAAATCGGCGTAGCAGGCCGCAAAAAGCGACCCCTTTGGTCGCGCTGCGGCACACGAGTGGAGGCTCTACTCGCCACTGCGCGACCACCTCTCCCTGCTGTTGGCACTTTTGCGGCCAAAAACTCCTCTTCGCTTGAGGAGGGATTTACGATTTAGCTTCCGCCAAAATTTGGAGGGAGCGCGTAAGCCTCCTCGGCTCTCGCTGCCACTTGTGGCAGACAGATCTCCCGTCTCCTTCATCTTCTCCGCCGAAACCGGCCCATCATCATTTTTATTTTTTATTTTATTAATGTGTTCGCTTTGGTTCCCACGAGTAGTGGAGGAAATAAAAGTCCACCCCGGCAGTGCCCCGTACCAGGGTAAGAATAAATACTGTAGGGGGTCGGCAGGTACCCTACAGTGGAAGCGCTAACGACTGGTAACCCCACCAGCCATTCATCCCATCGCCGCGCTTTAAAACTTAGGATTGGGGGTTTTTTATCTTAAAGGTGTCCTTCCTCTGGGCCGGGCGGTTAAGCCAAGCCCCCGACGGCGGCACTATACGTGCCTCCGTCCGCTGTCCGGCCAACCCGATTCAGCGAACCCGCCGGAAGCTCTCTCGCCAGGAGTGATCTGTGGAGAGAGAGCAACTACCGCATCGGTGCGCCTGCACCGCAGCGGCGTTGGCCACGTCCTTTGCCAATCGACGACTGTCGATTGGACAGGAGCGACCCCATCTCCGACGTTCCTCTACAGAGCCCTCTGTAATCAGAGAGACACGTGGAGCAACCGTCGTGGAGCAAATATGCTCCCCACTCGCAGAAGTTCGCCACAGACAATAGCCCCTCCAACATGGAGAGAGTATTGGGAGCAGGGTGCACCGGCCAGACAACTGCTCCTTCCCCCGAACGTATTCATAAGGAACTAGCACCCGTCAGGCACACGAGGAGGTTTTCTGCACGCACCCCAGGAGACGCGGCTTGCCACAACGGGGAGCGCGGTCGGCCCAGCCAGCAACTAGTGCTGGCTAGGCTGTTAGGCCCACCTTGGCCAGAGGTGGGCGACAACGGCCGCTCCCTATTGCAGAGATGCGCCTCATTATTCGCTCCTCCATCTCCGCCACGAGTCGGACTAAGTCCGGCTCCTTACGGGCGGACAACGCCAACGGTGCCGAAGACGATGGTGTGGCACCGTCCGTGGAGTCGTGTGGAGTCGTCCCGCCTCGATGATGGAGCGCACGACCGATACCAGGGCCTCCTGTTCAGGACCCCTGGCTACCCCGGACGTCTGGAGCAGGCAATCGGCCACGCCGATTGCCTCCTCGATCTGGTCCACGGGGTTGCCGGTTTTGCCACCCTCCTTCTCGCTTCTCACCTCGGTCACGTCAGTCGACCTCTCGGACGCGACCCTCTTCAAGGGAGCTACGCTCCCGTGAAGGGGCTCCTTCTTCTTCTCCTGGGCAACCCTAGGGAGTCGGCCTCCGCCGCGAGCGCCTCTGCGGCTTGTGCCGACTTTCTGAGCCGTGGCGTCATCGCTCGAGGCCGACTCCAATTGCCTCTTCAGGCCAAGGCGAAGCGAGTGCCTTTTGCGCTTTGGAGTACCCTTCTGGTGCTGCTCTGCAGCTGAGACCATCTAGGTACTCGCTTCGCTCATTTCCGAGGCAGTATCGGTGTTCGACA